CGGATACAAACTATTACGACAATGAGATTTTTCACTAGCTACAAGCTTATAAAATACTTCAACATCAGAACAGATGGTGTAAACGATAAAGTAACTAAATTAACAATCACTTCCGAGATTTTTCTAAATATGATTAATAATAAACGGTAAAACAATGGGATGATATACTATAGATATTAAAACATCATTACACAAACTCTACAAATAGCTTCTAAAACGGTGGTCCGAACGTAAAAACACAGCTAACCAGTAAGTCAGAGGTTCGAAACTCTTAATACCTATTCCGGTTTGGCCAGCCGGATTGTCACTGACCTTAAGTTCCAATGCACAATTCCATGTCTGGTAAATAAACGATACCTCTCACTACAAAGTAGTGACGTAACAACGTGAAATGTTTTGTGGGCGAAACTTTAATTTAGCGACGAGCCAATCAGAAGCGTTTGAGTAATTCCAAGGTCACGGAGCCAAGTTCAACACGTGATGCTAACATAAGATCGGTTCACAGCGGATTTTAGAGAGGAGGTGATTAATGAGAGGTTATAACAGATGGGATGGCGAGACTCTAATTTAGGGACGAGCCAACCAGAAGCGTTTGAGCAATTTCAATTATTAGCCAATCAGAAGACAGTATAAAGTAAAAATATATTACAAAAAAGTAATGAATTACAGTGGATATTCTTCTTTTACATGATTTAAAAACTTGTTAAGGTTTGATAAAGGCTCAGAAGTTCTGAATTCATAATGCATATGGTACAGAAACTCGTCCATAGGGTTAGTGTTTAGGGTTAGGAGTAAAGGTTAGGGTTTAGGGTTAAGGTTAGGTTACGGTCTAGGGTTAGGGGGCTACCATGCGATCGGTTTACATCGGATTTTAGAGAAGAGGTGTTTATTGAGAGGCTACAACCCTAACCCGAAACCTAACCTCTAAAATCCGTCGTAAACTGGTCACATGTTAGCACCCTAACACCCTAAACTTAAGCCTAACCTTAACCCTAACCCTAATCTCTAACCCCAAACCCTAACCCTATGGACGAGTTTCCATACCATATGCATTATCAATTCAGAACCTCTGAACCTTTATCAAACCCTAACAAGTTTTTAAATCATGTAAAAGAAGAATATCCACTGTAATTCATTACTTACTTACAATATATTTCCACTTTATACTGTCTTCTGATTGACCAATAACTGTCAAGGTCATTTAAGATTCGTTCAATGATCGTCGCGAAAATTAGAGTCTCGCCGTTTTGCGCTAGTTAAAAAAATGGCACTGATTGCTGAATATGCCCTACCCAACACATAGTTTATCCAAATTTTTGTGCATCCACCATACCCTAGTTAAATGCTACCAAGTGAATAAAGTTTCTCAAGAACGCTGGTATTGCTCAGAAATTGTTTGTTAGTCTCCTCAAACTTATCAAGGTCACCGATTGAAGGGCAGATAAAACAGAACGGGGGTCTCGTGTCTCTCTACATGTCTTACGAAATCAATTACAGGTAAAAGCTCATATTAGTCAAATATAAGCCTCATTTTGTCAATCCCAGAAAAGAGGTGCTAATAAATAAATCAAACGAGAAATTTAGTCGAATTGAGACCTATCTGAGAATATAAAATATCTTACAAAAACGGCTACTTGAGTGGTTGAAATATCGGTATGATGCAGGACATACCAATATCCAAGAATAAATCTTAAGATTTACAAAAAACAATAGGGTTACCCTTTTTTAATTATGACCAGAAGAATAATCACCAGATAATCGAGTGATACGTGAAATACGAGTAAGCGCCATTTTTGATCTTGCTGACTTTTCAACAAATATCAATCTTTTTACACTAAGGTCAGGCGCAGAAACAAAATACTTATGCTTACCAAGGTTATCGTTTGCTACATCTGACCGCAATATTTGTCAGAAACTGATAAAATAAATATTTAGAGATTCTTATATGATGCAAAGCATACAGAAAAGAATTAACTGTCTCAGTTCAAACTAACTGTAACGCAATACCTAAATATTGCGCACCTTTTACTCCGATACATTCAATGTGACTTTGTATAAACAAATTAATTGTCTTCACTCGCTTCTCGTTGTTTCATTACTGCTTCATAAACTTCATGTCTAAAAACGGTGGTCTTTCCAATCCACTACATTAATTCTAGCCAATTTAGCTGTGATTTGTGGATTTCTAAATCTTGTAGTCTGAATGGTTGGATTTCAAACTTATAAAAATTAAAACGATGGACCAATAAATGTCGATCCTTGAAAAAGGATTCGACAGATAAAACAAAAGAAGCGGTGCGTACGCAAATCCAGATTAAATAAGTGTGACGTCCACCTTTTGTTTCTGTTTGCGTCTAGCCTGAAAGTACCTTGTACGTTAAGACAGGAAAAAAGTCTGAAACGGAAAAGAACAAAAGGAATTGTCAACCAACGACCCAGAAAGTAGATAATTTACACTTCCAATATCCAATGTGTTTTTTGCGAGCATGTGTAAACCTACTGATTTTGTTGCACTCAATTCTTATGTTTTCGGTACGTTTCCAGATATTTGGTTATGTCTGTTGAGTGGTAGTCTGGCCACACGACTGCTCTGGTTCTAGTCCGTTTAGTATTCATTTGAGCATTTATACATCTTGTATCTAATTGCGTGCGTTCGTCTCAAGGCAGTAGGATTTCTGGATATCAATAGATATCAAGTTACCAGCTAAGAGGGTGGTTGATCCCAGTGTAAAAAAAATGAATTAATAATTCGGGTCCTCAGAGGTGAATATTTCAAGAATATATAAGTAATTTACCAAGATAGTAATGTGTGGGAAGGCAGATTTTAAAAAATTAGAGGGGGGAACAGAGATGATATTAAGATATTGGAGATAGTTTATGACATGCTGTAATGATAACCATGGTAACTTAAGATACACGCATCAGATGCAACTGTTTCAAGAGTGTTATGGTATACCATAGCTGAGTACGTATCCTTCAAGTTTCCTTTTAAAGCTATGCATTGAAGGACTGTGATCACAACGTCTGAGAGAGCATTCCAAATGCAGCCAATCCTCGGAGAGAAGAATCGATGGTGCGAATGGGTGTTCACTATTTATATGCCATCATCCGAGGATAATCTCAAAGTGAGTGGTGAGGATGTTCTGACAGTGATCTCGTGTAGAGGTGGCAAGACATACTTAATATTATATATGTCATTATCAGATCACTTCTTATCCTAATATAGCTCGCTAGGAAATATCCCGGGTGTTTGAGTCTGTCTATGAATTAGCCTGATCACGCAACTGATTATTCATCTTCGTAATTAATCTAAGAGTTTTATATTTCTTTAGAATGGAAGAGGCACAACTACATTGTGAACTTCAACGGGAGACCTTGCGCATGTTTTAAGCAGTGTTAGGAACAACACTAGGGCATACAAGGGCTTTGTGCATACAAACTCGAAATCAAGCTTTAAGGAGCATGTAAGTGGTTTATGTCAAATGAGGTGGATTGTTCATAACATGGCATTTCGACAGGTTACGTCTCAACCCATTGTCTACTGTCTACTCCTCTATTGATGTAAGATCGTTTTGAAGCTCTGGTGGATCCGTTTTGAGTTTCATGTGCCTCTAGATCATTGAGTCATTTGTGTAAATCAGTATTGGCCAGCTAATTATATCGTCAATGAAGAACAAGAACAGGAGTGGACCTAAAGATTTTGCATGTGAAACACGATATCGAGGCCCTTCAACCAATGTGCACTCTACCTTAATTCAAAACTTTCTGTTTTTTAGGAAGTTTCGGAACCAAGATAGAATAGGGCCTATATATGCCATCTTTGTAACTTTCGCTATGTGTACTTGAGGCACTGTATAAAAAGCTTTAGCGAATTCGAGAAGTAATGGATAATTCGGTATCTTTTAGTCTTTCGGCTTTGTCATGATATGAGGAGATTGAAGTCACAGTATATGCCTTTCCTGAATCAGTTTTGGACTTCACATAAAATGTTGTTTTTATTTATCTATTTTCTCATTTGTTTATCCAACAGTCCTCCTATTACCTTCGACAGTATTGCGATAGGTCTGTAACAAGCTGAGTCTTTACTATCGCTTTAATGAAGATTGTATAGAGTGGACTACTTACATTACCTTGGCAGTTGGTGTAAATATAGTGAGTGCCTGAACACGTCACACACTGGTATACTGATGGCCTCCGCACACTGTTTCAGGACTATAGGTTGGTTGCTGTCACATCCTGATTTTAATGGGCGCACGGACTTAGCTGGACATCTCTAAGATATTAAACTGCCACTGAGATTTAGACGCCGGAGCAATTGATTGAAACATGGTTTATCATGTTTAACCTCTTCATTGTTGTATCCCAACTCAGATTGTTCTTCGTATTGCTGATCGTCGCGATAGGACGAGTGAGAGTTAAGTCTGAAGCGACTCCCAACCATGAAGACAGATGCGTGTCGGACGTCTTAGTTACATCATCATGGCGGCTCGACCTAGTTGATATTGAGAATATCAAGCATGGTACCTGGTCAACGCACATATTCACTACGCAACCGTCTAATTACTCCATTGACTTGAACCTGTTTAAGCAGTCACTATCTGAATGGTACGGATCTTTTGAAATGAGAGTATTTCACTAACCACTATTATACAGGGCAGCCGGAGTCTGTAGGACTTGTGGAACTGTGCGGAGACCTGTCTATTCCGGAAAACTATCAAACCAAGATTCGACCTAAACTGTACACAACATGACAGTCTTGTTAGCGGATAGATTCAACTCCCAACTGGATTAGAAACAAACCTATAAAAATTTAACCCGTCAGTATCACCAGAATTCACAATAAGACTCAAAACGAAGAATGTATAACTACATATACACACATAAATTAATATATGTTGAATAAAGTGATATTTGAATACGACAAAGTGTACAGCGAATCATTATTAAGGGAGGATAGATAAATAACGTATCTTTAAAAAAAAGACAAATACAAACAGAATTTATTTAACACGTTTCCGTTGTCTCTCTGTTTCAGGCCGTTTATTTTCGTCGCGAACTCGTAGAGGTACATGCCGAGACACAGTTGAAACGCCATCTACGAATTTTGTTTTGAATAGTACATTAGCATTGTTGAACATTCCATCCTTGAGTGACACGACAATGAACTAGATCCGAAGGAAGCATAAAAATAACGGAATAACTAAACTAAGTACTGTGAAGTTTCTAAATACGAGTTATATAAAAAAAACGTATTTACTTAACTACAAAAATCATTTCTATCACGATACGCGTAAAATAATACTAATAATACCGTGATGAACACATAAACATAACAATCACTATAATTTGTATTGCGAGATCCTACACATCTTTCATTTTAACGCTGCGCGGTAAGACCGATCTACTTAAAATTAACAGGCTGCAAAATTAGAACCTTGCTCTAATTACATAGATTTGTGCAAATTGTCTGCTGAGAAAAAGTCTATATATCTATATCATTTGGGGCAGATTAGCATAATCCTGAAATAGTCTGGAAGCAGCCATCGAGGAAACATACTACCCTGCTAGACTGAAAAAGCTAAATCCCCGATTCCATATAAGATTAAACGTCATACGAACGACTGTGTCACATTCCACAGTATTCACCTATTTACATGTTTATATAGACACACAACACAAAGTGATCAAGGGTTACGAAGCACGTGCCCAAACAGTTTCAAAGTGACTCAATATCAAATACTCCGAAGTACATAGAAAGCAGAAAACCAAGTTTATTGACAACAAAACATATAAACACGACGGGTCATAGAATTGACCTTAATACAGCTTCTACGACACCCTACAAAAACTGTCAAGGACGAAATCTTAGACTCATAGAATCCCTAGCTATTCGGACATCCAAATGCCCTTCATGAATACTGGATAATATATTGCAACCACGAGACAGCATTGTTATCCATCATGCAATTTATGACCTAGGGTGATGTGACAATTTCCTATCCTTCCCATGATAAGTTAATTTTTCCGCGCTTACTTACAACTACTGTTTTGTTTTCGTTCGACATCTTATTCAATTAAGCTTTATTAGTTTTTATGAATGCTGTGACAACCATATATGTGACCGGATTGTTCGAAATATATAACATTTTTCAGATTAATTCTGCACAGAGATAGCGCTGTTAAGAAGAAATAATTATGACTTTTTATTGCAAGCGTCTCAACTTGAAACAGAGACACGTCAACTGTCAAACAAAATGTGTAAGTTACGTAATGACCATAATAAATTTACACATTGCCAGTCAGCTAAGGGAAAATATTACACATAACAATGCATATAAGCTAAATGTTCACGCTTTTCTAATTTATTATGTGAATGTTAAAAAAGAAACGACTTGCAATTTTCACTGACAGGAAGAACGGCCTATCTGTCAAATCTATTTGTACATCGATACTCCTTCCTTCCTTATTCTAATATTTCTGTATATTACATCATACTACTTATTTAAACAGTAAACAATTTCAAGATCCATCAATTCGAACATACAGTACGCAAAACGGCTTGGCCATCGTATGTTACTGCTTAGCACTTGCATGAACCTGTGTCATTCTGTTTACTTATCATTCTGACCGCAACTTTTTAATAATTTTGATAGTCACTAACAATTTTTCTGGTGCATTCATCGAATTTTGTCTCGGCGTAGCATCTTTCAATTTTTCAGATCTTAATGTCTGCTTCAGATGTTGACAGTTTGCGAATTAGAATACAGCTATGTACTGATGTTGAGATTAGTGTATGTTTATACATAATCATTATAAAACCCTTAAAAAGCATCTCTCTTTATGGTTGAATATATCGACGTCTCAGGAATACAGGTATGTTGATATTTAGTATATATTTTTGCACCCTTCTTCAGATAACTACTGCATTTGGATTTTGAATTTAACAAGTCAGTTAGTCATTGGGTTAGGGAGCTTAAGTATAATCTGCAATGTAATCATGTAATAATTTACAGAAACAATTGTTGCAAACGAAAAAAAAGAGAATTTTCAATATACCCACCTGTGAATGCTTAAAATGATTTTTAATCAACTGACCAATATTTTGTGTATGAGATAAATCGAGCGCCGCATCCACTTCATCTAATATATACAAAGGTGCAGGTTTGAAGAGTAATAAAGCCAGAATAAGTGAAAGGGCAGCTAACGACCTACGAACAAGATAAAATAATAAAACACACAGAATAAGCTGTCACAAAAGCAAAGAATAGAAATAAAAGATTATATATGTACATATGTAGGGATTAAGTCCATAAAAAGTGAATGAAAGGACAGGTGGCACCTGTACATCTTGCAGAAACACTATTTTCCAGAGGTGAAAAAATATACCATTTAGTTACGGACACTAATTGTTTACTTAAAAAAGGTAGAAATTTATATGTTCATTAATAATATGTTTTTATCCAGGTTAGTTGATCCCTGTTCAATTTCGAGTAACTTGTTTACGATCAGTGTGAGGAGTATTTAAACATGCCTATCGATAGAAAACTAAGAGAGTTCATATATCTGTTTCATGGCTAAAAAAATTTGAATACGCACTTAAAAAATAAGGTAAACAAAACAAACACAGACGAGTTCATATATTTTGTGAAGAAAAGAAACAACGAAGAACAACAAAAACTATTTGTTTAAAACAATGCCTTGTTTAATTCAGAGTTTGAGAAATGCTAACATTTATTTTTGTGCATGCCTTATCCTATAAATAATCAGCTTTCGTTTATAATGTATAAATTACTGTCGTAATCTTTCCTATCTGTAATTTAGACATGATCCATCCATTCCTTTCTTCGAATCTAATGTCCTATAGTTTGGATATAATTTTATTTTTATCATGTGTCTCTTGTTAAGTTGGTTGGGTCAGGAATAAATTAGATACACAGTTCAAGCTAAGTCTTCTCTCTCCTCTTGAAAATCTATCCGGTCAGTGATAGGGTAGTTTGCAGGCCTCAAAGTTGTACTAGGTAACCTATCACGTCAAGGTCGGAAACTAGATCAAGACAACGCTTTCTCCTCTTGGATATTAGGAGTAGACTAGTGAGGCGGACGAAACAAAGTTATAACAATACAATGTTTTGCAAAGGAATTTAATAACGCTACCCTGAAGTCTAGATGATAACAGTAGTCATATATAATAACTATGAAGTAAAAATAAAAATCCTCAAGAAGATTTCTCCATACATAAATCAACTATGCATATATATCAAAGTTTTTTTACTGAACTTTGGAAATCATGTGTGCATCATTATTTTGAAATTAATACACAAATTCTAATAATAGCCATTGAATATAAAAGAACTTTAGTGGTCAATTTAATCTTCTAAATGACATCTGACCATAACATATTGGTGTTTAAGCACAATATAAAACTGTAGTGTATGCTACTTAGGTTGACAGATATAAGTAGTATGTAGCAGCAATTGGAACTGGAATACCGACCAGCAGAAGATTGAAATGAAGAGAACAGGAAGGAAATCAGAGACCAATCATAATACCAACAGAATCAGGGGGATAATGGCGTATGTAAAGGGCAACACATTGGACTTCAAAAAAGACAAATAATGGTAACAGTAGGTTGATCGATAAAAGCATTTCGGAATTCTGATGGAATTTAGAAACAGTGAGAAAAAATTCGAATACCTGACACTTTTGACTTGAAGTTTGGGCTGAAGATGTCGTTCAGAAACACGAGGAAAACTTCAATGAAAGCTCAGATTACGAAACTCCACTAAAACCACCCACCTAGGTTACAAATCTCCTAGCCATCTTAACAACCTATATCATTGGAATCGGTGAAATAAAATTTTTACGAAATATATCATTTTAAGATTTTTTGAGCAATTTAACAAAAGATGTACACATAATGTAGTGGTAAATAGCTGGAAAAATTAAATATTAGTTAATATTTCCCAAAATATCAATGTGACTAAAAATAAATTGATACCTTTGACCACCACTCAATTCTCCAAGTGATTCTTTCCAAACATCACCAAATGCAACTTTAATTTCTAATCCATCAAGAACACTCAAACCTTCCGGGGGAAATAAACGTGCTTTACTTCCTGGTAACAGAGTTCCGAAAATGTTACAGAATTCCTAAATCGTGAGAAATAACAAACAGTGAAGTGCAAACGTAAACAAGTTACCTAAAGAAACTCGAAAAAGTATATTTAAAATGTGATCGATAGACGAACTCACCAATAATAAAGGGAAACGCCCACCACCACATTAACTCCCTTTGACCTTGTACTACTGTATCTCTTTATTAACCAATCAAAGTTTGATGTTCATTGTAAAGCAATATTTGCTTGTTGACTCATTTTTCCTATTCTCTGGCTACTGTTCGGTATGTTATTTGTCTGTTTTTTCCCTGTATTAATAAACCGTACTGTTTGTTTGTACACTAACGATGTCAATTTATGTTTTAGAAACAGATAAAGTTTATCTAGCCAAATAGCTTGCTTGTTCTGACTTTGGCCAAACCAAGACTCTGTATTCGACGGTTTAGAGAATAGCTCAGAATCAAACCTGTAGGAAATTGCTTGCTACAAAGTTTCGAACAGTAAATTCGATATACCTACTGAAATGACCTCCAATAAATACTACGATTCCGACGAGATTCCAGAGTTATCACCCCATCAATTGGGAGTTTATGACGAGGATCAACTTAAAAAAAACGAACTCAAAAACAATAGCATGATAGAACTAGAGTTAGCTAGGTTGCGCATAACCCAGTTAGATAAGGAAATTGAACTGGAAAAGTTACGTCTCCAGAAATGTGAAGGTTCCGGCCATTCAGTAAGCAACAGTGAGAATACAATATTAAAAGATCTGTATTTACCAAAAAGAGAAGTCTTAAGATTCGATGGTACACCGACAAATTATTGGAATTTCATTAGAAATTTCGAAGAATGCATTGGGAGTGAGAATATTGGATTTAGAGCTAAGCTAAATTACTTGATTCAATATTGTGACGGAGAAGCGAAAGCCGCTAGTATACTAGAACCAGAGATAGTTTATCATCAAGTCTTAAAGCTCTTAGAGGAAAGATTTGACCAAAAACATGTTGTAGCACGCACGTTTATTGACAACTTGTTAAACTTTCCCAATATAAGGAGGAATCAACCAGATGGGTTGAGAAGACTATCTCGAGAAATGCAAGCACGTGGTTTGACTCTCGAACAGATGAATTAAGTCTCTGATTTGAACTCTTCTAGAACTATTGAAACTGTGGTTCTGAAATTACCAACACACATTCAACAAGAGTGACTATAGGTAGCTTATAAGATTATTAGAGGAGGTCGAGAGCCTCTGTTCACCGACCTTGTTGAGTTTGTAAAGGAGCAAGCTGACATTGCTAATACTAGATATGGATTACTTGTCACTGGTGACCCTTCTAAGCGCAACCAAAGACAATCTGTGGCTGATACTAAAGGACACTTTGATTCAGGATATAAGGCGAGAGTGTCGTTCGCTAACACGAGTGAATTTGATGCCATTCCATATGTAAGACCAAGGACTCTTGGGTTGTCATGTTTATTATGTACGGGAAATCACCCATCAGATCAATGTGAAGGGTTTAGAGACAAAAATGTTAATGAAAGGATAAAATTTGTATCAAAGAAGAAGTTGTGTAATGTCTGTCTAAAAGCGAACCACATAGCGAGAAACTGTCGAGCACCGAGGTCATGTGCCGTCGAAGGATGTGGTTGGAGGCATCATACGTTGTTACATAGGATGCGGGAAGAGCAAGGAGATAATAATAATAATGCACACATTAACACCCAGCTATGTACGGAGAGAAGCGTTGAGTGTGTACAGAAGCAAGTAGCATTTGCAATAGTGCCTGTATTGATAAAAAATGGAGAAAAGTCAGTACAGACTTGTGCCTTCTTAGATAGTGGGTCGGATGCCTCGCTTATTACAGAATATCTAGCTAGAAGGTTGAATTTAGAAGGAGAGCGTAAGACGGTTTCGTTGAAAACGTTGGATAACCAGTCCACAATTCAGTGTAAAGAGGTCCAACTAGAGGTTTCCTCCTAAGACTCGTCTTCGTCATTTAGAATCCCAAACGTATGGACTGTCGAGAGATTACCTATGTTGCGCAGGACGGTAACAACGTCTCAAATGACATCCTGGACGCATTTAAAAGACATAAGTTTTCCGAGAGTAGAGGATGAGAATGTCAAACTGTTGATCGGGTGCAACGCACCGAGTGTACACGAAATGAAAGAGATAAGAACTGAAAAGCCGAATGAACCATTCGCCATGAAGACTATGTTGGTTGGACGTACACAAGAACTTACAACCGGGTGACTTAGTCCTTGTTAGTAACGTCGAAATGAATAGAGGTCTATGGCCTAAGGCTATTGTCGAGCAAGTAAGCTATGGCCCGGACGGATGAGTCCGCACGGAAAAGTTGAGAACTTCAAAGGAAGAAATCGTCAGAGATGTGCGAAGCCTATGCCTGCTAGAAGAAGCCGGTTATCTGACGGCGACGACGACCCTGGACAATGGACGTGGTGCGCGTTTCGGGGGGAGTGTAAAATGTGATCGATAGACGAACTCACCAATAATAAAGGGAAACGCCCACCACCACATTAACTCCCTTTGACCTTGTACTACTGTATCTCTTTATTAACCAATCAAAGTTTGATGTTCATTGTAAAGCAATATTTGCTTGTTGACTCATTTTTCCTATTCTCTGGCTACTGTTCGGTATGTTATTTATCTGCGTTTTCCCTGTATTAATAAACCGTACTGTTTGTTTGTACACTAACGATGTCAATTTATGTTTTAGAAACAGATAAAGTTTATCTAGCCAAATAGCTTGCTTGTTCTGACTTTGGCCAAACCAAGACTCTGTATTCGACGGTTTAGAGAATAGCTCAGAATCAAACCTGTAGGAAATTGCTCCCTACAGTATATTTGCGAAATTTACTAAAACATTGAACTATTTTACTCCCTACAGCCAGATTGTGGATTGTAATCCAGAGAAATTCAATTGTATTTGAAGTGAGAAAAACACAAATATATTCTAATTTTGACCCAGAGCGTTAAATGCAGTACGAAGTAAGGTGAGACTATAATTCACGGACGACCTTCGAGCGATGCAAGAGTGACCTTGGGAAAAGTCACCTGCTTACTAGGGTCAAAAGAGGTTTATAAATTAGTGTGAAGAATTAGGATTAAGATTTAGAGTTGGAAGTTAAGGTTAGGAATAAAAATAAACGTTTTCATCATGAACTGACACCAGTTATAATACTATTTCATTATATAGGTAAATGGATTTCGCGCCAAAATCCAGGACTTACTACCTTTAACTTCATCAGTTCGTTCTTAAATTATAATCTCACCGATAGTAACCCTCAAGTCGAGGAATATGATTACAATCGGATTTCCCTGAACATCCTTGTGTACCAAAACCTGATAGAAAGCAAATATACAAGTCCTACATCTACGTCTGTATCAACAACCTTACTTGTTTTCTCTTACAGAGATTCATCTAAGAATCGAACAGTACATAGATATCTCCAGAGGATTTCTGCCCTTTCTTAAAATTTCAAGTTATCAACAGTCAAGATCAGTCCGATGGATTTTGCGTATAACTCTCTTACTATAATTACTTCACTTCTGACTAACCGTGATTACAATGCTTAAATAATCATGGAGCTAATGCATCAAAGGTATTTCATTTCAAATCAGCCAGAAGCTAATTACAACAAACATCTAACAATCCTTCTATATTGATAATACAAGTAACTTCATAAGTTAAACAACAATCTACCAGCGTTTAATAGCATGACACGTGTAAAATAAACCACTTTTTAATATACCTCAATATAATAATTGTGGGATTTGTGTAGTATAATGGCATTATTTATGTATAACCGGTTTCTATCATATAATTTCGTCCTTCTATTTCATTGGTTGATCATAAATTAACTGATACTTCTGTTCGTTTGTCTAACTACATTGAACTGATCATTTTTATGTTTATCAATGCTGACAGTCGACTGTTGTCGAGGTTTTTATCAATTTGGATGTGAGTCACCTTTAATCTAAGCTAAATACTACTTGATATATGATCAGTTAATATTTATACATATTTGTATATCAATATTTCAAGAAGTTAGAACAGTCTTTTTACTTTAATCGAGTTTATGTGGATTATTCCGATCAATCTAAAAATAGTGCGACAATTATTATAAAAGTCTCTACATATGACTTAGTTTATAACAAACTATCAGGTTAAATTAATATTAATCAAATATATTATACATTTATCAAATATAATTTAGTATGCACATTATATTCACAAAATTCAGTCATTCAATCAGCCATATCCAACGTAGAACCTGGTGCGTATGTACATCGGTTCAGATTGTCACACCCATTCAGCACAATGAAATAAAACTTTCAGGGTAGATCACTGAGTGGTAGAGATGGTAACGTTATAAGTGGTTATAAAAAAGATTAGAACTCGAAGATACAATTCGAGAATAAAATATAAACTAGTGAAATAAGGATTTTTAAAAATTGCGGTGTGTAGAATCCATGAGACGGTAAAGAGTGAATGAACCAGGGTTATTGAAAATAATATTGAAACCATGTTACTCAAATTCCAACCATTGTTTACCATAATCACACTCATATAGTCTCTACCCGCCTACGTGGCTCATGTTAACAGTCCGTGTCTTCATGGACTGGTACCATTTCTTTATTTGGCCATCCCTATCTTTCTTTGAACTAACTCTGACGTCAGCGTTTATCGAGCACTGAGTTACGTGGTTGTTGGATACACATATTACAAGTCTTATCCATGTCAGTCGATAAATACTCAGTATCTCATCATTCGGTTCGCCATCGTTACCTAGTACTGTGCGTCTAACCTCAGAATTCCTAACTCAATTATCCCAATACATAAGAGTAATCCATTGAAGATATCTACGGTCAAGAGCTATTTTTCACAGCCATAAAGTAGGACGAGGTGAACTCATCCTCTAATTCGAAGATAGATACCTCACCTATGCCACAAGTGGCGTACGTTGGCAAAGCATACAGAGCCTTCGGAATCCATGCCGAAATTCCGTCAA